CCAAGTCTCTTCCAGATCTCACTTTTCCTCTCCGGGATGTCAGGGGAATGGATGAAGGATTGTCACATAGGGGAAAGACAGCAGCAACCATCCTGGACACAGCCACGGGTGGCCCTTGTTCCCAAGCTCCCTTTGGAGCCTCCCTATGGCCGACAGTGATCCAGGGAGATTCCTCTGCTCTCGGAGCCCTTGGCAAGCTCCCCAAGTACATGGGAAGTTCCAGGCTCCTCACTCCTGGCAAAAAGAGGTGTTCAGAATTTCCCACCGTCCATCTGTGAGCCAGCTTGCTGCGTTACTCCTGGTCTCAGACCGAAGGCCAGCCCGAGCCCTCCTGGGGCCAGCGCAGACTGGCACTCCCTGGGCTAGTGAGGAGCAATGCTACCGTCCCACCTGCTGGCCACTCTCTTCCCAGGCAGCCCCCCAGGTGGGAGGCTCTTCCTGCAGAAGCAGTGTCCAGGCTCCTGCTTGCCTTCTCTGGGTGATTTATTGCTTTCCTGTTCCCCAGACCAAGCCCCCCCCACCCCCCACGGTGGAGACTCTCATCAGTCCAGCTGGCCAGTGAGGGGAGGGGTCGGGAGACAGATGGAAGTCACCCAGCCATCCAATCCTCAGGGCAGGGCGAGGGTTTGAGGCTGACTCTCCTGTCTCCTCCAGTCACCACGCAACATCCCCCTCAGAGCAGCAAAGCCCTGCTCCTGTAGCTCCTCGTCAGCTCTGCGTGGGAGCTGAGGGTTGGGCATAGCCAGGAAGAAGGCTCGGGCAGTGGGCAGTCTGTATGTGGCCGCCCTCTCAGACCTCCACACCCAGGCACCTCTTGCCAGACTCTGCCCCACATCACACATGGTCCCCTGATCTGTCGCCCACAGGCATTACCAGTGAAAGGGTTTGTGGCTTTTGTTGCTATGTTCTTGGAGCGGGTGCTGAGAAGCCAGCGTCTCCCGGTGACTCATGAAGCCGTCTCTCCTTCCTGGAGATGAGGAACTGAGATTGGTGATCAGCAGGGATGGGGAGACCCTGGGAGACGTGAACTCTGCCTTATCACTCCCATCACTGTGGCGAGGGCAGTAAACCTCAGCCTCCCTGACTCCGCCATGGGCCTTCCTTCTTCCCCTCCCTGCGTGAGAACCAGAGACTACATGAGTTTTATTTCCCTTTGTTCCATATCCCTTCAGAGCTTTGTAACCTTTCATCCTCGACTGTCTGGCCTGGTGGCCAGTTGGTGTTGTGTACTGAAGACAGCATCCCTTAGTACCATTGTTTTATTGTTAGAATGAGAAAACAGCTTGACTGTCTCAGATTGCTGGATCAGGAACCCAGAAGCCTTGGTGGCTGTGGAGGGTGTGGAGGGGGAGGGAGAGCCCAGCTCCATCACTCTCCTCGCGCGCACTTTGTAAAAATCTTTTCCATGGGGTGGGGTGGGTGGGGTCATTGCTCTCCGTGGGACTCCAGGACCAGATCTGCTGAGTTAGGAATGAAGAGAGATGGTTCCAGTGACCTTCTGTAGACTCTGAAGTGGATCCTGGGGCCGCCTCAGCCTCTGAAGGGCAGGGGTTTGGAACCGGACTCAGCTGGGGAAGAGGCGTAATTAATTCTTGGCCTGCCCTGTCACCCCTGGGGATCTTTTCCATACTGCTGACTGGCAGGAGAAGGCACCGTGGAGGCCGGGCCAGGGGAGCCTTGGTTTGCCTGCCCATCTGGGTTAGCCACCTGGGGAGGTTGGAGGAAGGAAGCGGTGGAGCCGGGCTGTAGTGAGCATCGTCTCCTTTTCCCTTGGCAGGAGCAGAACAAGAGCACCCAGCAAACAGATTGTGGGGAGCTTGGGCAGGTGGCTTGCCCCAGTTCTCTAAGCGGGGCCACCGCAAGCGGGAAATGCCTTCCATTCTGCTCTGACAGCTTCTGGGTCTTAGAACCAGAGTTCTGACCCACTGCAAAGGATGTCAGTGTGCAGGCAGTTAAGGGAAGGCCACCCCCTGGAATGGTCTTCAGTCATTTTTTTCAGCCAGAAAGGACACTGGCCTGGCATCCTGGCAGGCCCTGTGGCCCAGGTTTAATGCCTTAGTCTCTGGGTCACAGAGAGGCAATAAGGTCCCGGGCACTGGTCAGGGAGGTGGGACAGGGGCACTGGGAAGGCTCTTCAGCAGCCAACCTGGAGGAGTTTCAGGGTGTCAGTAACTGGCGTGGCTGTGCGGACACTCCACCCTGGTTATCGTTGTTTTTCAGAAGGCAAATGGAATTCCATAAAGTAAAATAATCAGTTTAAAGATAAGATAGTTCAACTAGGGTAGAAGATCGCTTGAAGTTCTCCAGCATGGTATCTATTCTTTCTTTTCCTTCTCTCTCTCTCTCTCTCTCTCTCTCTCTCTCACACACACACACACACACACACACACACTCTGCCTTAGACTTTCCTAGCTTCTAGTGTAAGAATAAAGAGACCTTGGGTTGGGGCTGGGTGGGGCTCAGTGGTGGAGCACTTGCCTAGCATGCATGGGGCACTGAGTTGCACATATAAATAAATAAAGTCCATTGACAACTAAGAAAATATTTAAAAAAAAAAAGAGAGAGAGAGAGACCTTGGAGGTCTAGGCAGAGGCTCAGAGACAATCCAGTAAGAGACAGGAAAGCGGGAATGCCTGGGCTGGAAGGGGCCCCCTGATCTGTGGTGCCCCATCTTGTCCATTGAGCCAGCTCTTTTTTTCTATCTGAAGTAGGGCTGAGCTCGGGTGGAATTCCCCTGGCATTCCATACCTGGCCATAGCAGGTAAGGATGATGTGTTCGTCCCTTTGGGTTGGAAGGAGGATCCCTGAGGATGGACAGAGCTAAGCCGGAGAGGGAGCAGCCTGGATCTCATCTCCTGAATCCTCAGCCTAGTGGTCTTAGCATTTACAGTGGTCTCAACTTGGGAGAGGGCACCCTATCGCCATTTTCTAAATAACTGGCATCCAAGGGAGGGCCAGGGCAAGGGCAGAGAAGAAAAGAGAGGACAAATACTTTGCCAGGTGAGAGCCACTGGCAGCTGGTCCCTGACACCTGTGGAGCTGGCATTTTGATCTGCAGGTGCATGAGGAAACCAGACAGTGTTGTTGAGCGGTCTCCTCCTGCCCGCAGACACCTTGAAGTGCTGCCAGTCCCCACCCCCTTTTGACCTCATCTTTATGCTGCAGCAAGTGGAAGGAAAACAGGGGGACCGTGGTGGGAAGAAGTTAGCTAGGAAAGTGTATTTTTCTCCCGCAAATGACTGGAGAAGCTTCCGGAATCTGGCCCATCAAGATGGTTGGAAATGTAAACGGAGCTGGTTTTTAATTGGGACTGAATGCTCGGGCAGATAAGGCTCCCGGACAATGAAGATGAGATCCAGAAGAGGGGGAGGCAGAGAGCAGGAGCCGAGCTCTCCCTACCTTCCCTGAGTGTGGACAGCCTTGGCTCAGAATTTGCTAGCTGGGAGAAAGAAGGAAGTGGGAGGGATGGGCCACTGTAGCCCCGCTTCCCACTCACGCCACAGTCCTCTCTCTGCCTCATGAGCTCTATTACCAGAAGCCAGGGCGTCCTCGGGATGGGGAAGCTGGGCCAGGACTAATTCTCTGTCAGCAAATTTTCAGGAGCTATGGAATGAAGCAACTTGGTACAGGCAGATCACCAAGAGGGGCCCCCAGGGTGGAAAGAGTGGAGTGTGTTTCTCTAGTTGTTCAATATTTATCTCACAGTGGGGGCCCTGGGCATCCAGCCTGGGTGCCTGAGTATGTGTATGTGCTCGTGTGCACACCAGCAAAGGGTCATGAAGACAGGTTGATGTTGTGGCTTATAAGTATGAAGGGCCATGCCATGCCACTCAGATGCTGAGGCGGTCTTGAATCATAGAGAAGCCCTAACAAGGAGGAGAGACGGCGGCCTCAAGAGTGGAGAAGACCCAGGTCTTATCTTTGTAATTGACTGGTCTTGGCACTTCGGAATGCTTGCCCCTGGATTTGTTCTTCAGCAGAATGAGCCTAGCTATTAATGTCTTATGCATAACACATTTCATATTTTTGAAAGTTTGCGGCTATTCTTTCAAAGAATTAGAAGGTATTTCATTTGCACATGAGAAAACTAAGGGCCCAAGAAGTGACATCACACTGCTAATTTATGCTAGATCCTGTGTGGAAGCCCTGTTCTGCCAAGTACTCTTTTCACCGGTGGCACTGCTGTTGGGGTCACCTCTTGGGACCAGAGAATCAGTGACCACTGACTGGCAACCCGGAGTGTAGGGTGCTTCGGCCTCTGACATCAGATGTCCTTTACTGGGTTCCCCCCGCTTTTCTTGGGTGCAGTTTGAGAGGACCACTCAGGTCTGTATTCATAACCATTTGCCCTTGAGCCATGAAAGCCTCTTGATATCCCAAAAGGAAGGAGAGAGGGGTGAGGAAACTGATCACCTATTCTCATTTCCCCTTTTAATGTTCTCTTGGGAAGTTCTTGATGTTTAACCTAAAATGAAAATCTGTCGCACCATGCAGTTTAGTGATAAAGGGAAAGAGCCCCAGCTGGGCCCTCCATGTGCCGGCTCAACCCCGAGGATTTCGGAGCTCTCAGCAAGCAGGGAAGCCCTGGAGCCTCCCCTCCTTCCTCTTTCCCTGGCTCGACACTGGGCAGGAGAGAAGTTAATTTAACTTGCCACTTAAGCACAGGCTGTGGGAGGCCCCCCGAGTTCAGCTTGAGGAGAAAGGGGCTATTTTTGCCTTCTCTAGAGGAAGAAAACTCATTTTCCCAATGCACCCCACCCCCTCCTCCTCCTGTGCAGATGAGCTTAATTTTCTTTCCTTCCTAATGAAGATGGATCCAAGCCAAACTATATATTCTGGGGGGATCCAGGCAGGGAAGCCGAGTGAGGGGGCGAGGGGGCAGAAACAGAGCTTCTCTTCAGAGAGGAAGTAATTAATTTTAAGAGAGAGCTAAGATAGGGAAGCCCTTGGTAATATAATGTCAGACTCCAAATGCAAGTGACTGAAAACTGAATCAGAGCCCAGAGAGTTTCTTTCATTCATTCATGTACTCATTCAACAAATGTTTATGGAGCACCTACTATGCACAGGCAGGGACCTCAAAACAGGCCTCAGAAGAGGGCTCAGCACAGCACAACCACAGCAGGGCTCCATTAACTGGATCAGCAGCAGGAAGAGGGCATGATCTGAAAACTTAGGCCTCCTGTCACCAGGATGAATCATTTGCAAAAGTCCCACTAAATGGCTGAATATATTGATCTTTTGGATTTAGGATTAGCTGTTTAAACATCAGCAGCTGTTGACCCCAGTTATATCCCAACCAGCTTGACTCTTCATGGGTTAAATAATAATGTTGTCCATTTGCTTTTCCATTCACTGATGACATTGTTCCCTGACCAAGTTCTATCCTCCATCCAAACAATTAGATTAGCCCCTCCTTTTCAGTGTCTGTTGTGATATCACAGAATTACCATAGCAACAGACTATGATGTCAACACAATGCCTGGTCTTGCTAAAAAAGAGCCCCGTTGGTTTGAAAGGAACCTGTCATGTGAAGACAAAATGGAATAATATAGAAAACCAGAGGAACGGGAATTTGATATCAAAAAGAACATCTTGGCAGGGTAAGGTAACTGGGTGGGCCAGGGTGTCCTTTGCTAGAACCCTTTGCAAACCACCAAGGTGCTTTCATTGAGATGAGCATTGATTAGTGAGCCTGCTTGCCTGGAGACAGGGGTGGGAGGAGGTGACCTTCAAGAAGTCCTCCAAGACCAAGGATCCCAAGACAAGGAAGACATTAGGAAAGGGGGAGATTTGACCAGCTTTGGCTTCTGGGGAATTCGGGGGAATTAACATCAGTGCAAAACCTCCTTGCTCGTGAGTTGATCTGACAGGCACCAGCTGGAATTTATCATCTTGCATCTGGGAAGATTTGCAGCAGTAAACACACAGTGACCCCTTCTCAAGCCCCATTTGCTGCCCTCTTCCTCACAAGCCTAGGGAGGAAGCTTTCCTTCCATTTCGCCAGAGCAGAGAAGCCCAGTTCCTTGCCATCAGCTCTGGCTCCCCGACATCCACACTCTGGATCCACAAGTCCCGTCCCTCCCAGCTGGACTACGGCTCCCAGAGGGCAGAAGAGCTGCTGGGTCTGAGGGCAGCTGGGCAGAGGCCAGTGGCTTCTGTCTGTACAGCAGGCTGGGTAGGCAGAGGAGAAGAGAAAGGAGACTTTCTCAATTAATCTCAGCCTCTCAGCAGCGGCAGCAATAACAGGGAATGAACCTGGAGCTTCCCTTAACCCTGTACCCTCAGGCTCTGAAGGGTGTCTGAGAAGCAGAGTTGATTTTCAGCTCCAGAGCCTGTGTCTGGGCTGGGAGCTGGGAAGCAGCACCGTCTCCCTGCAGGTCGAGCTGGCATGAGTTTCTGCCGTGCAGATGGGAATGCAGCCCCATGCTCCTCCGCCCGCCCAGCCACTCTGTGTCCTTAGCTCAGTGAGGTCGCACTACCTGGAGGTGGTTCACCTGCTCAGTGCACGCCCCAACTCTCCGTGGCTGCATTTTCTCCTTGGGAACCTGAACGAGGAGGATGCCGTCCCCTCCTCGCTTATCCAGTCTCCAGTCCTCTGACCGGTGGTAGTCCAGCCGGATCCTAGGAAGCTGCAGGCCCGCTGGGGCACCTGGGTGACCCCTACCATCACCCAGGGAGAGCCCCCTCCCTGTTCTCTAATGCCAGAGCCGGGAAGAGGGGCAACCAGCAGACAGCCTGCCACCGCTTGCGCTGTTCCTCTGCCACGGCCCGAGGACTTACTTCTCAGAGGGATGGTAGCAGCAGGGTGGCTGGTGGGTCCTCCGAGGCTGCCCAACTGGGGACTGAGCTGCCAAAAAGATGCTGAAGTTTCGGGCTGACCGACGAGCCAGGTAGGGATCTCGTCCATGGACCGTGAGCCTGGTGAACTCGGAGCCGGCGGCGCTGGCACTCACCCTGTTCCCGTCTGGGGGCTTGGCGGTGAGGGGTCTGCTGGCAGTGACCTGGGAGGAGAGCGCAGTTAGGTCAATGGTTGCTGCATTGCAGTGCCCGTGAAGGGGAAGCTATTTTGAAATTGGTAGCGTGGGGATGGAGAGAGCACGTCATCTGTAGGGGTTGCTGGGTAGGAGACTCTGGGGCAGGGAGAAATGTGCCGTACCCTGGGAGACTCGAGACAGCTGACAGCTGACTGCCTGCATGCTTCTGTGTGTCTGTCTGTACCAGAGCCTGCAGGAAGCTCCCTGGAGCTACCATCGGGAACACACAGATCATTAGGGGCCTGGAGGGGCAAAGAGGTGGGAGGGAGCAAGTGCCCCACACCACTGGGTGAAAGCAGAGAAGTTGTCACCTCAAGGACCTTCACTGTCACCACTGCCTTTGCACCAGACTTCTGAGGGGACAGAGCCAGGGACAAGGTTAACTGCAGGCAGGTACCTTTCCCTGCAAAGACCCCCTGTGATTAAGTTGAGAGCATCGTCTTTGGAAACGTGGAACCGCCGTTTGGGAAGTGGGGAGTGGATTCCCAGTGTTCTAGAGTCAGAAGCCAGGAGGACACTGGTCAGGTTTGGGGTCCTGTCTGCACAGCCAGACTTTCCCATTGGCCGTAGCCACTACCTGCTGTGCTGCTCTCTCCAGTGTGCCTTTGGCTTACATCTGAACATGACCAGTTTGGAAGCTGGAAAAAACACACTTTGATATTATCTTTAGCTTCAGCAGGCAGTGCAAGGGTGAGATGTGTCCTGGGCTAAAAGAGGTGCCAACAAGGTTATTTTCCTTCCCTGAAGCAGCTGAAGCGACTGAGCTCTTTTTCCCCACCGCTGACCTGCGGGGGGCTGAACAGAGCACTGGGTCTTTACCATGGGGTCTGAAGTGGCCCCGCCTTAGTCCCTATGCTTGCTCTTAGGGTCTGCTGGAGCCTGCGCTCTCTGGACTCTCACAGTATTTTTCGAGGGGTGGGAGAAGTGCTCCTTAAAGCTCCCTTAGCCCCCACAGGCCCAGATTTCAAATATCCGCTACTATGTTCCTGCCAGGTAGTTGCTGCTAATGGAATACAACCCAGATAGGCCACTGCCCCAGCCCCTCTGAAGTCTGTCTGCTGTCTTCCTCCTTATGCCCCCTGAGAGGCCACCGGGAAGCTGGCCTGACATCCAGCTAGCCAGCAGAGACGCAGGCTGCCTCCATGTACCGTTCCCCATCTGCCTCGCCTGCACCCCGCCCCTGGTTTGTGCTTCCTGGCAGGCTGTCCTCATAACACACCACCCCACTCCCAGCCACAGTGTCCCTTAATTAGATCTGACTGTTCAGCCAGCACTGACCTTGATGCCTGACAGCTCGCGATGTCTCTGTGACATCCAGTAGCCCTTGGATGGAAGACCCTGGGCTCAGAGCATGAACAAGTCCCGGCCCAAGCTCAAGAATGGAGTTTCTGAATCTCCCGTTTCCTTTCAAGAAAGAGATGGAGCATAAAGCAGGAGAGAAGTAGTCCAAGGTCACAGGAGAGTTCTTTCAGCAAATAATGAGGGAGCGTGTTTTATGCAGAACACTGGCAGGCAGCTTCTCTGCTTGGGAACCTGCCACACATGAAATCTTGACTGTGTTGGACAGACAGTTCAAACACCGCGCCCCCCACGCATGCCTGAGATAGCTGCGGGACGAGTTAAGTGTGGCTGGTGTCCAGCCTGGGGAGCTCTAGTAAGTGGCTGACACTGACTAGTGATTGGTGACGAGGCTTCTTTTCTCTTCCCTCACCCCACCCCTCCCCACCCCAGCAACAGCTTCTGCCACTCAAGCCTTGTTCTCCCTCTGGCCCCCTTTGGGGGTGCAGAGGTAGAGCTGCTTTCATGGTCACCTGTCCCCGTCACTGCCCAGGGTCTGTTCTCCCTTTGGCTCATGTCTCTGTCCTCTGCATTTTTATCACAGTTTCTCTTACTGTTGCTTCTACAGCCACAATGACAGACGGAACACATTTCGTCACCCAGTGACTGGCCAAGTCCCAGAGGAGAACAAGAAGTTCGACTTGAAAATGTAAGTTTTGCCTTCTATTTACTCTTTGGCCTTTTTATCTTTTGTCACCGCCATTCCATGGCCACCTTGCACTGGGATGGGGAGGATGATGGGGAGGGAAGGAAAAGAAGGGATTTGGGATCCTTTAGTTCTGAGACTGGAAGCTTCTGGGACCCATCTCCTGACATCCCCATCCCCTTTTCCTGGTGCATCTCACAGGTTGAACCGAAAGAGTAAAAGCCAGGTCTGAGGTTGGCATAGCACCCAGGGGCCTTGGCAGGAGGCAGAGAGAGAATCTGATATAATCTTGAGGGCTGAACATGAATTTGGCCTTCGCTGGATTCTGCATCTCTGAATGAAAGGGAAAAAAAGGAAAGAAAGGATAATTAATTGACTCCTAGGCCACCAGCCATTGTACCTTTAAGATTAGAAGGGAAGGAGTTCTGGAGTCTGAGAATCTAGATTTTTAAAATAAAAAAAGAGAAGAAAGAGAATATCTGGGATGACCAGCATATAATCCCAGAAGAACTGAGGAGAAACTCTGAATGATCTCTTGATGGGTGGGGAAGTTTTTCCCCCGTTGCTTCTTGGCTCTGACTAGTCTCTTTCTTTTGTTCAATTTGAAATCAGATTGGCCTTGGACATGTCCAATAAAACAGGTGGGAAACGCCCTGCTACCACCAACAGTGACATATCCAACCACAACATGGTGTCCGAGGTCCCTCCAGAGCGGCCCAACATTCGGGTGAGTCCAGTCCCTCAAAGCAGGAAGGAGATGTCTTCAATGCATGTTTTTTGGGATCTCAGGGATCCTAGGAAAGTCTCACCTACCCAGCTCATTCTGTACTCCAACGGACAGGTGAGGTGGCCCAGGGAGATAGTCAGTGGGAAGGGAAGAGGGCTCAGACCAGAATCTTGCAGAGGACCAACATCTAGACCTGGGGTTCTCAGCCTCAGCCCCGTTAGCCTCCGGGCTTGACAGTTCTCATTGGTGTGGGAGTGACCTGTGCGCTGAAGGATAGTGACCTGCTTCTCTGGCCCCTGCCCTGTTGATGCCAGTAGGATCTCCCTCCAATTATGGGTGAGAGTCAGAGTGAGATGAAAGTAAGGGACCCCCAGGAGGAATAAGTATCTTAGAGAAGAACGTCGCAAAAGGGCCCTGCCAGATCAGGGCTGCTGACTTGTGTCCTTGTTTGGTGACAGGGTGGTAACTAGAGGAGAGGGTGGTCTGAGAGGTGTGATGAGGGCAGAAGGCAAGGCGGAGAGGGTTAAAGAGGAGATGGGAGAGGAGAGGTAGACACGTGGAAGGGTAACAGTTCTAAGATGATAATAAATTCATACAATGGAGTATTCTCCAAAACTTAAAATGAACTTGCTCTGTGTGTACTAACAGGGATTCTTCTTGAAAACATGATTCTGCAAGTTGCAGAATATGGAAAATATAACACTTATGTAAAATGCACAAATACGAAAAGCGGCACTACATATTTATAGGAACAGCTGCAGTCCAAGTATATAACCATGAACAGGAAGGCTCGTTTTGGGTCAGTGGTTACCTCCAGGGAAGAAAAAGGTAATGGGATTGGCCCGGTGCTTCCCAGAGAGAGTTAGCTCTGACAACACAAAGGGATAATTGCATATTGTTCTCTACTTCCCTGAAATGCTTGGAATATTTCAAAAAGGAGGAACTTTTTATTTTTACTTTTCGATGAGCATATATTCATCGTGCATATGAATGAGGTTCCATGTGGTGGTTGAGCTCACACATGCAGCATGCCCTGATCCAATCAGGCTCATGAGCATTTCCCTGTCCTTACCATTTCTTCATGTTTGGCGGCTTTGTGCTCTTTCTTCCAGAGCTTCATAAAATATATAACAGGTGGTTGTGAACTATAGTCAGATGGAAGGAAAATGTGGAGTGGGGATTGGAAACCAGAGGGAAGGAGGCGGAGGGGATTTGTTGGTTAGGCAGAGGCCTGCGGGGAAGGATTAGTCTTCGTAGACAGGTTCAGAAGGGGATGGTTGGTGAGTTGTGTTTTCATGGTGTCGGGGTGCCTGCGTGTTAGCCTGGGTTGGGGAAGCGCATGTCTTCCTGAGATGCATAAAAATAAAAGTATGTGAAGCTGAGAGTGGGTGTCTAGGAAATTAAAGATGTCCCCACCTGACTGCCTCCACTTTTGCAGGAAGGAAGGAAGCAGGGTGCTTTGTAGGGAGGAGAAGCGCATGGGAATGTGTCAGGTCAGGTGCGTGAGAACACGCAGTGCACGTTTGGGTAACAGGAATGGTGCTCAGCCAGGGACACACGGAACATGCTGCTGGGTAATTGAAGGATCATCTGAGGTTGAAGACTAAGAATCTGTGTGCCTGATCCACAGGCTGGTGTGGTTTTCCTTCAGCAGTGCTCAGAGCCCAGCTGTGAGGGCAAGGCAGGCAGAGTGTTGGATTGACCCGTGGCTGCTGGGAAGCTGGGCACAGGCACCGGGTGGCTAATGTGTTGAGGGGTGGCCCCGGGAATGTCTAGAAAGGCAAACTATGGGAAGCCACTGCTCTGGTGGCAGAGAGAAGGGGGAAGGATTTAGGGATTTGCATATCCTTAAGGAGGCAGACAACTTCTTCAAATGACGTTTCTTGGCCTTTATCTGTGAATTTTCACTAGTAATGTCCAGAAAATAACTTTGTTTCCTACTTGTGGAGGTACTTTATAATAAAGCCCAATCTCTTCTTTCCTTCTGTCTCTGCAAGTATATTCTAAGTGTTTGTTATGGCTGGCACCTTGCTGGCTATGGTGATATAGGAATGAACAAAACCAAAGTCCTTTCTGCAAAAAGCTCAGTCGCGTGGTAGAGGAGACAGAAAGCCAGCAGCTCCATTGCTGAGCAATGTGACAAGTTTTACACTCTACAGATGTCCGGAGTTGCTAACTGTTGTGGGGGTGGGTGGTTAGGGAGGTCTCATGGAGAATCTATGCTGGATTTTAAAGAGTGGGCTGGGAATTGTGGGTGCCGAGGGAGGATGTCCTCCCTTTGTGAGGGAGCCCAGGTGAGCAGAGGTTCAGGAGGAAGAGACAGCAGAGGTGGGGCTTGGGTGCCACAGGGGCAGAAGCCGGGCTGTAGACCCGATCGGATCTCATGGATTCCCGCTTCTGTACTGTGCTCAGGTATCTGAGCTCTCCCCTAAGCGATGAGGACTAGTAAGAAATTTGAAGCAAGAGAATCACACAATTCTATGTGTTTTAGAAAAATCACCTCAATTCATTGCCCAGGATGGATAGCAAGAAGAAATGAGGACCTGCAAGATGACAGCAGCAGAATTTCAGAGGGAAAAGAGATTTGAGGCTCTGTTAAGGAGACAGACTCAGGCTGAGGGTGTGGCTTGGGGATAGAGGGCATGCCTAGTCACACCACCTCTGGGCTCCTTCCTCGGCACTGATAACACACAACATCAAAGCAGATCTTTCAGCCCACATCCATGGTGGTAGGAAGGAGTAGAGGAAGCAGGGAAGCAGGGACTTGACTCCGAGGTCTGATGTGGGTGGCTGGGTGGGTTGCAGCGTCGTCCACCAAGATGAGGAATACAGAAGAGTAGGTTTGGGTAGAAAGAATGAATCTGGCTCTGCTCTTACTTAATCCTAGTCGGACATCGAGTTATAAAATGGACTGGCGCTAGGAGATACAGATCAGGGAACCCTGATCCTGTTGCTGGTACTTGAAGCAGTGGGTAGAGATGAGCTTGCACAAGCTCCAGTAAAGCTCCAGGGCTGGGGTGTGGCCGGGTGTAGAGTGCTTACCTAGCACAGGAAAGGCACCCAACCCCAGCACCACCAAAACAAAAACAATAACAAAACCCTCAAATAAAATAATAAAAGTTTGGTTGTGGTTCAGCAACACTTGGAATAGAGGAAGGGAGGGAGGTATTGAAAGATCCCAGGAAGGACAGAAAGTTAATGAGCTTTGGAGTGATCAAGGACCGAATGGCCCTAACTCAATAGCATTGCAAGAGCCATTTCCAAATGAGGTGGAGGAAGTTTGGGGATCTTGGGAGGAGAAGAAAGTGGGCTCTGCCCAGTAGCCCAGCCCTGAAGAGAAAGGGAGAATGGATTCTGCCTTACAGTGGGCAGGGGTTGTTTTAGTTAGGTTTTTTTTTTTTTTTTTTTTTTTTTGCTATTGTGACTGAAAGACCTGACCAGAACCATTTTAGAGGAGGAAAATTTTATTTGGAGGCTGGGCTCACAGCTTCAGAGTTCTCACTCCATAAGCAGCTGGCTCCATTCCTCGGGCTTGAGATGAGGCAGGACATCATGGTGGAAGAGTGTGGTGGAGGGAAGTTGCTCACGTGATGATCAGGAAGCCGGGAGAGACTCCACTTGCAAGATACAAAATATATACCCCAAAGGCATACCCGCAATGCCCACCTCCTCCAGCCGCATCCTACCCACCTCCAGCCACCACCCCGTTAATCCCATCAGGGGATTAATCCACTGATTGAGTTAGGGCTCTCAGAACCCAGTCATTTCTCCTCTAAATCTTCTTGCATTGTCTCACACTTGAGCTTTTAGGGGACACCTCTCATCTAAACCATAATAGGGGATGGGGGTAGAGGGGGAGTTTGGGGGTGTGTGAGAGGATGAGAGAGAGGTGCCATCAGATGGAGAGACTGGGGCTTGCTGGCCAGGAGAAGCAGCCAGCAGAGAAGGGCACGTTGAAGACAGGCTTGAGAGGAGATGTCAACAGGGCAAAGTCTCAGAGGAGATGGCGGGCTAGAAGGGTCAGCTGTGGAAGGGCAGGTGATACCTCTCCTGTTGACATTGGAGGGAAAAAGACAGTGAAGAGGGCAGTACTTTTCTAGGTAAAAGGGTGTGGAATTGAGGAAGTGCATGTATGGTTGTGGAAGAGGAGCCAGGTCCAGTATGGGGACGGCAGAGGTGGGAGGTTGGGGGACTTGGGAGGACAGTGTGGGGCTCTTGCTGTGGGGCTCTGTGGGGCTCTGCCCAGCCGGGGCTGGGAACCCTGGGTCTGCAGTGACCTCATCTGCTCTGCAGTATGATTTTAAATTTTTTATTCCTCTAGCAGCACCGTAATCTGGCTGTGAGTACAGGGAGGGAGGATAATTTGATTAATTTGGAATATTGAGTTTCAGAGAAGATGAAGCAGAAAAATAATGGATGGGTGTTTTGAGTCCAGCTTTGGAAGGACATAATGAAAACCAGGAAGCAGCGGATGAATCCAGAGAAAAGGGAAATGGGGATCTCAGGGGAATAGAAAAGCTGGGGGTAGTTAAGTAATGGAGGGAAGAAGGCCAAAGGGAGGAATATAGTGACCAGCAAGTGGGAATTCTAGAATTGAAGGTGTTAGTGGACGGTGGCTTGGGGTGCTGACAGTCTAAGGTGAGGTGTAGCCCGGGCATGAGCAGCTGGAACAGAAGATGGAGGGTTTTGGAGTTGAGGAGGTCAAGGGCATTGGATGGGTAAGGAGATGTCTCATATCAGAATCCTTAGACTCAAGCCAGGCACAGTGGTGCACAACCGTAATCATAGCTCCTGGGGAGGCTGAGGCAGGAGGATTGCAAGTTCGAGGCCAGCCTAGGCAACTTAGCAAGACCCCCATCTCAAAATAAAAAAAATAAAAAGAGCTGGGGAGGAAGCTCAGTGATTGAGCACCGTTGGGTTCAATCCCAAGTACCAAAACAAAAATGAAAAATTTAAAAAAAACCCATAAAATAAAAACCCTTTATAGAGTCCAAAAGAAGGGTGTAGAAGCTGATGTTGAAGGGTTAAGTCATGGGAGGCCAGAAAGTGGGGCTTCAGGAAGACAGACTGTTGCCAGAATGTGGGAGAATGACACCCCTCGGTCTCCCCAGCTCTGTGGGGTGCTGTGGCTGAGACAATGAGCAGGAGCTGAGCAGGAGTTGACGTGGGCCATTAATTTAGAGTTGAGTGGATTCCAGAGAGCACTGCGAAGAGATGGGGAGTCAGGAGGGCAGGGGAAGAGGGTTAGGCCAGGAGTGAAAGGAGAAATCTTGGGGTTTTTTTTCCTCCAAAGGAAAAAAAGCAAAGCTATGAGACAGCTAGGACTCCTCTTATGAGACCCAGTTTAGAGATTGAAAAAAACGAGCTAAAGTCGGTCCTGACCTGGAGTTAGTACCAGCTCCCAGAGTCTCACCTGGTTCTCAGCAGGAGGGCACCCAGCAGTGAGCTGGAGAGAGCTTGCTCCTCAGGGGGCAGCACCCTCGCAGATGGAGCAGAGGGAAGGAGAGGAAGCAGCTCAGGTGTCTTTCCCTGTTTCCCCAGGCGACGCGAACATCCCGCAAAGCCATCGCCTTTGGCAAGCGTTCACACTCCATGAAGCGGAACCCCAACGCGCCGGTCACCAAGGCAGGCTGGCTCTTCAAGCAGGTGAGGCGCCCTGCGCTCTGCCCACCATAGCCACCTCTGACAGCGCCGTGACTCCTCTGTGCTGATGGCAGTCTGTGTATTTTTTTGAGGTCCCTCTTGCCGTGGTGGGGGTGACAGGTGTCCACTGACTGGCCTGGCCTCATCCCTGCCTGCCCTTCCGCTCACTTATTCTGGCTCATTTCTTGCCCTTTTTATCTTCCCCCTGATGAGGTGGCACCGAGCCTCAGAATGACAGAGCTGGAATGTCACAGGCAGTAATCTAATGTCCCTTCCCTGCCTCTGTGACCTCCAGGGTGTTGCTGCCACACGTTAGAGCTGAGCCTGGATGTCCTTTTAAGCTGTGGAGTGCCCTTTCCCCTCCTTGCCCAGCCCACAGCCCCTCACATCCGTCTCTCCCCGTGTCCCGCAGGCCAGCTCCGGGGTGAAGCAGTGGAACAAGCGCTGGTTCGTCCTGGTGGACCGTTGCCTCTTCTACTACAAAGGTGAGCCTGCCCCTGGGGTGTCGATTGTCAGAGCCTTGGCAGGACAGGTCTCCCCCCTCGAGTGCTTGGCGCCAGAGGAGTGTGACATGGGATGGTGGCTTGTGCCACCTCACCCACGTTCATTCAATTCAGCAATATTTCTGGATTGCCTGCTAGGTTTTAGGCAGCGATCTGGGTCCTGGTTGGTGACACAGTGGGTGACAAGGTAGTTATATGCTTGGTGAAGTCTGGAAGGGGTAGGAGAGAGGAAGAAGATGAAGAGGTTCCTAGTGAGCACCTGTAGGTCACTGCGTCCTGGAGGCTTGCACCTTGGTCTTCTTCATGTTCCACTGGAATGGACAGTCTGGTCAGTGAGGGCAGGAATTTCTGCCAATTTTGTTCACTCCTGAGTCCACAGCATCTAAACATTGCACTGCACACAGTTAGTGTTTAGTGGATAGTGCATAAACGAGAGGCCCCCAGCTTCTACTCTCTGTCACCCCCGCATTCACCCCTAGCCTGCTCCCTGATCAAAAATAAATAAATAAACAAAATAAAGGAGAGCAAAGCTCTGGTAACTTTGATGCAACCTTCTCTAGGAAGTTATTTAAAAATATTCAGAGCCACATGTGTCACCATGGGCACAGAGGGCACAAGGGCTGGCTGATGACAGCAATGGTGGCATCATCAGGCTGCTGTGGTGGCAGGAGGAAGCAGACCCAGGGGATAAGACAGGGATGTGAGCTCAGAGAGGCTGTTCTTGGTGCTTGCTCAGATTGGCTTGACTCAGGATGGCTGAGCCCTGGTTTCCCAAGGCCTCCTGGGAGCAATCTGATGAATCATTAACTTGGGCAAACAAAGGTTGTACCCGGTGACCCTTTCGCCCCAGGGTGCCACTGTCCCTGAGCACTAAGCTAAGGCCAATTGAACTCTTAAGGAAGAGGGATCAGAGGGGCTGCGGATTCTGGGGCCAGGCACAGAGAAAGGCCCAAACTTGCAGAGACTGTGCCCAGGCCTGGCCCCTGGGTACTGAGCCCCGGAGCAGAGTAGGACTGGCCTGGAAGGAGAGCCAGTGTCTGTGCAGAGGAGGGGCTAATGTACTGAAAAGGGGTCACAGCCACAGAGGGGTGGTCTCAGGTCAGCTCTGGGCTTAGCCTGTTTTCTGTGGCTGGGTCATTCACCGTGAGGGGAGGTTTATTATGGCCCACAGTTCTGGAGGCTGGAAGGTGCGAGAACACAGTGGTTTCTGGGGAGGGCCTCGTGCTGCTTCAACTCACGGCAGAAGGTAGAGAGGGGACGCACAGATGACACAAAACAGGAGGGCCGCCTCGCCTCCAAGGCCCCGCTGTGGAAGGGGAGCTCTGTGTGGGAAGAGCACCCATCCCTCTGTGACCCCACCACCTCTCAGCACCTTACATTAAAATCAGATTCCCACGTGAGCTTTAGCTCATCCAAACCAGAGCAGCCCCTAAACGCTGGCCTGTCCTCTGCCAGGCGGGGCCCGTCTCCTCAGCAGGTGGGCAGCCTCAGTTTTCCCAAAGACAGCTTTGGAGTCCAGCCTCAAGTCCTTCCTGCTCCTTCATTTGACCCCCCTCCCTCTGGCATCAGGCTGTGGGCTAAACAGAATCGCAGACCAAGTATCTTGTGGGTCTGTGGATGTGACAAGAGGGGAGGCAGAGCTCTGGGAGTCGTAGCCCTGCAGAGGTTTCTTCTGGACTCTGAGGGTTTTTCAGAGTCCCCAACCCCAGGAATACACAGCAGACCCAGCAGAGGAGAGGGTCTTGCCATGGCCGCATAGTTGTCCCCCACCTGTCCCACAGAGGGCTCCTGCCCTTTCTGGCCTCCTGCTGACAGCTGGGCGCCCGACTAGCTAATCCATCAGGCTCCTCCAGATCCAGGATGAATTATGTAACAGCCCCATTGTTAGTGATTGTTAGCCTGATCCTGAGAGGACAGGGCCCGGGGCTCCACGCAGGAGCTATAAAGGGGGTCTGCAGCAGGAAAAAGGCAATGCAGGCTGCTGGGGGCTGGGAGCACACTGAGAGAGCTACCCAGAGCTTTAGAGAGCAGGAGGAGAAGTGGTGCACAGGACCCTGCTCCATCCTGTCCCCTGCTGTATGCACTACTACTGGAATTGTCCTGTTTAGTGAGGCAGGATAGATGGATAGGGGTCGGCAAGGCCAGCTTTGGCGTCAGGCTTCTTGGGTGGAAAGACCACGCCCACTACTTAGTTTTTAAGGAAACTTGGACAAACTCCTCGGCCTCTGTGTCTTAGCTTCCCATCGAACGGGGGGTGATATGGGTACCCCTTTGCGGGATAGTTTGAAGAGTTGAATCCAGTAAGACATTTAACTTGGAACGCTCCTAATATGAGGCGAACACTCCAGAAACATCAGCTCTTCCTTAATAACTGGTTTGTGCATTAGAATGTGAATGCCCCGAGGGTGGGCACCTTTCTCTTATTCCCTTCTGTAGTCCAGTGTCTGAACAGCGTCCGCCAGCCCCTCTGCCCCCCACCCCCAGCTCCAGGGAGTGCCTCTTGGAGTGTGTGTGGTGGTCCTGAGTGTCTGGCAAGTAGTAGGTGGGCATCAGGTGTTCACAGAGCAGGGCCGGCATGCTCCTGGCTCCCCCTGCCCAGGTGCGCACGTGAGCACACACACCCTTGTGCCTCTGTTTCTCTGGCAGATGAAAAGGAGGAGAGCATCCTGGGCAGTATCCCCCTGTTGAGCTTCCGGGTTGCAGCAGTGCAGCCCTCGGACAACATCAGCCGGAAGCACACCTTTAAGGTCGGTTGGCTTTCCTCTCCCAGGTCTGGGGGAGGGAGGCCTGTTCTTCTAGAGCATATGGAGATAGAGAAGGGTCAAGGGCATCTCCCTGAGGAATCCAGGTGGTGATGGAGGAGGAAGGGAGCAGGCAGTGGCCTCTGGACTCAGATGGGTTACTGGGAGGCCAAGGTGAGGCTGTGCTGGGACACCCCTCTTCTTCACAGGGGTCACGTGGGTAATTCCCCTTAGGTGGACCGATAGGGGTGTGCCTCAGTGGTACCACAGTTTTTACTGGGAGAGAAAGTTACGTCCTGGGCCCTTGGGCTTTCTGCTCCTGGGAAATCCCTCTGGACAGAGGCAGAGCTGTGCCTGGTGGAATTCTTGAGATCTTTTCTGGAAAGCCTCCTGCTCCACCTTGGGTCCAGGGAAGGGGATCCCTCCTCCAGCCAAATTAACTGAAATTGCAATCTTTAGAGGAAATGAGGAGTTGAGTTCTGCTCCAATCCAAAGCTGCAAACTTCTGTAGACAACAGTTTTGAGAGAACAAGGGCCAGGAAAATGGGACTCGGCTGCCTCTCCGTGTCACTCCCTCAGAACCCCCCAGGGATCCACCCATCAAAGACACTGCTCGCTCGCAGCTGGCTCTTCCTAGGCCAGTGTTTTTCCACATTTAAAAATTCATGACCCATTAAAAACTATAAAAATCTCATGCCCTTTTTGTACTTTGTGATGCAAAAAAAAAAAAAAAACACCTTAGGTTTCTTTTCATTTTCCAAGTGTAAAATTATAAGCTAAACTGTGCATTTCCGTAGGACAAAGCCCTCTGTCCCCCAGTAGAGAATTGCCATCTCAAACCCTGAAAACCCAAAACTGAGGTGTTAGATGATAGGACCTATGGGTCTCACCAGGCCACTGTCTGAGCTCCTAGGGCCCTTTCTGACCCGTGGACTTTGGTCACCTGGTGATAGGAGAGAGGTGGGCAGCACGTGTAGGTTCGGCCCTGAGGAACAAGGAGGGACTTACTTGGCACATAATTAGTTTCCAGCCTCCCAGGGTCCTGTGTGCCAGAGGTATGGGCGGAATAAACAATTAATGAAACTGTGACTCTAGAGAGCCGGGTCCTAGCTGGAGAAATAGAAGTAGGCTGTCTAACCAACAACACACAGCCCCGGCTTACACACACACACACACACACACACAGACCCATGTACCATCAGCCAGCCTGCCCCCCCCCCCACCTTTTAGAGACACACTCCAGCTCAGAGCTGTGCCAGCTGCAGGCATCAGATAACATCACAGAATGGCTAGCACAAACCCCGACCGCAAAGCCCCAAGATCACGCCTGCGCCCACCAGCCCCTTGCCCACTCCACCTTCCCCAGGAGTGCACTGCCTCTTTAAGACCTGGCTCTGAGGGCTGTGCTTAGTGGCCCACAAAGGGTTCCAATTGTGGCTATTCAGTGGCCCTTCCCCAGGGAAGGGAGGGGAGCCGAGACAGACAGGAGGCTTATCCTGCTGTGGCCACCCCGCCAAACTCTTGGATGGCAAATAATGAGAAGCCAGGAACTGCGCCTGCCCCGGCTGCCACTGAATGCTTTACCTCTTCTTCACCCGGCCCCTCCGGAGGGTTTCGCCTGCTGGGACACCTCCCTCACTTCTCTGGCCCCTTTCATAGTCCCAGCCCATGCCCCTCCCCACTCCCCATCAATAGCCCCGTCTTTTCCCAGGCCCTCTGCCTTCCCCTGTCTCCAGCACTTGCTCCTGGGCCTGTGTTTGCTCCCTGTTTCCTGTGGCATGTTTGGTTGCCAATGTGACTGTGAGCTCAAGTGCAAGAGCAAGCCCCTGCCTTCCTTGTGACTGGTGCCCTGCACGAGCTGAACTCACAGGCTGCTCACTAGGTGCTTGCACTCCCACCTGCCCCAGGACACACCACCAGTCCTGTGTCCCCTTCTCCTCTACAGCCACCTGGGTTCTCCACCCAGAGGGCTCGCTTGGTCCTCAGCTCTCAACTCCTGTGCAGTTTCACGTCCCAGAGGCCTCCTTCCAGCCCCACAGGCTGTCCGTCAGCCTCTCCTGCCCTCTCTACACCGGGCTGTCTGCTAGAGGGTAGGGAATGCAGAGGAAGGAGCCCCATCCATGCCCCTTGCTAGGTAATGGCTCCTATTAGAAAGAATTCCAGGGCTGAGCCTGGCACGGTGGCTCACACCTATAATGCCAGTGGCTCAGGAAGCTGAGGCAGGAGGATTGCAAGTTCAAAGCCAACCTCAACTACTTAGCGAGGACCTCAGCAACTTAGCAAGACCCTGTCTCTAAATTTTAAATGAATAAATAAATAAACCAGGGATGGAGATTTGACTCAGTGGTTAAGCATCCCTGGGTTGAATCCCTGGTTCCCCCCACCAATAAAGAGTTCCAAGGTTAGGGAGAGGTAGAGGGGGGTGGGACTGGCTACAGTCAAGAAAGCCTGGGGACGCTTGGTCCAAAAGGCATCACATGAGTTGGGCTTGATGCTGCTGCTCAGCAGAGCCCAGAGGCTCAGTCAGTGGTTCCTTTCTCGTCCCCCAAACCCCAGCAACCCAGGAAGGAGCACCCAAAGAGTCAGGCTGCCAGGTAGCTCACCTCTGAGACTGAGTCACAATTGGACCCCCCAATTAAGTGAGATAGACTCGGCTCCCTGCTTTTTGGAGAGATTGAGGGTCATTCAGCAAGTATATTAAGGTCCCAGCAAGTTCTAGTCCTATGGCCCCTCTCTTTATGGCCTTGAGTTTCACCAGGCAGACCCTTCCCCATGAGGTTGACTGAGCAGGACAGCAGCTGGTCTG